TGTATTTTTGGCTATTGCTACAAATATACCCCAGCGACTTAAGACTGGTTTTGTGGTCCAGGGTCATATATACACACATATACATATATACACATATACACACACACACACACACACACATATATATATATATATATATATATACACAAGATCAAACTGCAATGTTAGTGGAACATTTAAAATAAAAAAAAAACACTTCAGGATGTGTTAATAAATGTCACTACATTTTTTCAACGTTCTCAAAAAACAAGCACATATATTTAGTTAAATAACTATTTTTTTGCCGTATTAAGTACATAGAACTTTTTTCAGGAAATGTAGACGTCTAGATTAATGTTGTTGTTACCTCTAAAGCCCCCTTAAGATTAACAAAGTGAATTAATCACTTGAAAAACATCAGGACACTTTACCTGCCATGGTTTTGACATTTCAAAGGCTTTATCTCGACATGAAAGCTTCTACGTGCAACGTGAATAATGTGACATTTCTTCACGAACAAAGAACCGAGAAAGGAACAATGGAAATTCTGAGATCTGACAAACAAAAGGCTCATTAGACAACAGCAACATAATTGACGATAATAAACTCAATCGCCCCTTTGAAATGCAGTAAACACATCAGGCGTGGTGATTATCATTTGGAGGCTTTGATGTTTGGCCCTTCAGATTTGAGAAAAGACCCATGAGAAATGGCCCCGCCCACAACTCCGCCCACCACACTAGAGGAAATCCTGACTCAATTAATCAAGACGAGAAAATAAGCCACAAATACAACATGATTCAACAACACAGAATAGCTCGAAACAAACTGGAAAGCATCTCTGCAGAAACCTTTTCCTGAATTTGGTGTTGTCTGAACATCAACCACAACCCACAGCAAAACATAATAAAAACTCACCTCAACGGGCAGTTTGACTAAAGCGAGTCTCCAGCGCAATAATAATTCAAACAATATCCACAGTCCAATTCTCAGTAGATCCATTCGCCTTTCACACACCACTGAGCGTGACTCACTTTTCTTGTATTCTAGCTCAGTGTGCATAACAAATTCGCAATTTTTTATAAACCAGCATCTGTTTATATGACATCTTCTGTGACCTCCACCTATTCAGTGCATTTCACTGTAATTGTATCATGTTTACACAGCCTTTAGTTGTTTTACTTGGCATACTACTTCTTTGCAGAGATCAGAGGTCAGGATGGCCAGTCAGCAACCCCTCATGAGGACGCGTTTGCCTGCTTTTTAATACCCGTCCAAATGACTTCCCTAGTTTCCCCAATAATCCCTCTCCTCTGGCTGGATCTTCACTTTTGGAATTTCAGAATAGGCGTTAACTGCCCACACTCGGCTGCCGTGTGGGAACAGTGTTTAAGGGCCGCTGAAATTTTCACACAAAATGCCACACTATTCTCTGGATCAGCACAATCTCAACTGGGCTTAGAAACTTTTTCAGAGAAAATGGCAAGAAAAATTCTGTAAGACGAGGTTAAGGAAAAAGTGACCCGACAAACCTTGATGGATCTAACTTGTATCGGAGTAAAAAGTATGGTAGAAAATGTACGGTCGGCAAATTTTTGGTTAATTGATAGTTCATCTTTAATTTGTTTTAAATGTTTTCTGATCTAGAAATTTGCATTAGAGAAAGGATCACCAAATAATTAATTTTAGCTAAATGATTGCTAACATTTTGTTGCAAATTTACCACAAAAGGATTTACATAGTGGGCCAAAGTACCTTAAAACAATACTGTGGCACTACTAAATTAAAAAGTATGGTATTACAATGGCAAATGTCCAAAGAACATGGTAATACCATAGCATTGCTTGTTACTGTAGATATAATCAAAATGTTATTATTCAGAAGGAGAAACCAGACAGAAAATCTAAAGGCTAAAGGTTAAATACTAAATGCTCTTAGATAATGTTTTCCCCCATGATTTTATGCAACAAAAAAAGCCAACATGAAACAAAAACAAACAAACAAAAACCAAAACAAAAAAACTAAACAAATTTCAGAATAGGCGTTAACTGCCCACACTCGGCTGCTGTGTGGAAACAGTGTTTAAGGGCCGCTGAAATTTTCACACAAAATGCCACACTATTCTCTGGATCAGCACAATCTCAACTGGGCTTAGAAATTTTTTCAGAGAAAATGGCAAGAAAAATTCTGTAAGACGAGGTTAAGGAAAAAGTGACCCGACAAACCTTGATGGATCTAACTTGTATCGGAGTAAAAAGTATGGTAGAAAATGTACGGTCGGCAAATTTTTGGTTAATTGATAGTTCATCTTTAATTTGTTTTAAATGTTTTCTGATCTAGAAATTTGCATTAGAGAAAGGATCACCAAATAATTAATTTTAGCTAAATGATTGCTAACATTTTGTTGCAAATTTACCACAAAAGGATTTACATAGTGGGCCAAAGTACCTTAAAACAATACTGTGGCACTACTAAATTAAAAAGTATGGTATTACAATGGCAAATGTCCAAAGAACATGGTAATACCATAGCATTGCTTGTTACTGTAGATATAATCAAAATGTTATTATTCAGAAGGAGAAACCAGACAGAAAATCTAAAGGCTAAAGGTTAAATACTAAATGCTCTTAGATAATGTTTTCCCCCATGATTTTATGCAACAAAAAAAGCCAACATGAAACAAAAACAAACAAACAAAAACCAAAACAAAAAAACTAAACAAACAACAAGCCAAAAAATGGGCAAAACAAACATGAAAAATCTAAAAAAAAAATTTTTTAAATACTAAAATGAAACATTTAGTAGGTAAAAGCAGCCAGAGAATCACCACTAAAGGCTCTTGGATAATTCTATTTCCACCCAAAGTTTATCTGCTTGTGAAACTGAATCAGGCAGTGTTTCTGGTGTGTGAGCATGGCAGCTGTCTACATTAATATATGTCAAAGACCAGCTGTAGTCATCTGGAATCTCTCCACACCACTTTCCCAGCGCATGACTCAGCCCTTCCGATCCGAACCAAACGACCCAATGTTTGTCAGATTGACTCCATGCCCACAATAATTATGTTATTAATTTCCACACAGCCATTCGTGTAGAATAATAATAATAATAAAACATTATTTAAAGGATGAGGCTATTTGGGATGATTTCTTACCTGGATCCCACAATTAATGTAATTCTAATGCTAGTGTGGGCATGAACATTTAAACTATACTGTTATGAAGAACCAAATAACGTCTGCAAAAAACAAACAAAAAAATGAACCAACATGAAATAAAACAAAGTTAAACAAAAACTCAACATTAAAACCAAACAAAAAACCAAACAAAACTGAACAACAACCGAAACTAAAAACACAAAACAATGAGACTAAACAAACTAAACTGAACAAAAAGGCAAACAAACAAAATGAAACAGAGAAAAAAAAAAACACCAAAACTGTACCGAACTAAAATGACAAAATGCTAAAAAAAAAAAAACAACGCTAAAGAAACAAAACTAAACCATGAAATAAAATTGTTAACCAGCAAAACTAAACTGAACAAAAAAAAATAAAAAAAATAAATAAAAAAAACAGAGGAAAAAAAAACTACCAAACTAAACAAAAAGGACAGAAAAAAACTAAACATGACGCCAAACCTAAAAAAAGAAAAAAGAAAAAAACTCAAATGACAAAATGCTACAAAACACTACACTAAACAAAACTAGACTATTAAATAAAACGAAGTTAAACACAAATCTAATATTAAAACTGTTGAAATGAAAAAGAAAAAATAACAAAAGTTAAAAAAAAAAACATGAAAAAACCCTGAACTAAATAGAATGGGGAAAAACAAACAAAACATGAGACAAACAGAACTGAACTGAACAAAAAAGGCAAAAAACAAAATAAAACCAAACCAAGCAAACAAAACCTATCACTGCCACTTCAGATTAGAATACAAGTATTTTGTTGTCACAATTTTTCGGTCTCATCCAAACATTGTGATATCGTAAATTGCATTGAACTGATTTCCGACTCTTGGCAGAGCATTGTTGCAGGGCATATTGCGTTAGTGACAGCTAATCCCACCGGAGATGAAATCTGTGCTGTGAGTGGGTGAGTGCTGCAAATAAGGTGTTTGATTCCACAGAAAGAAGTGAATTCTGGGAATAAAAAAACGACAATTCTTGTATATGTTGAGCAAACATTATAGCAGGTAATTCAAGTCTGATTATTACCAAGAAGCCACTGTACAGAGCAAGCAAATCATTATGGTCCGGTTTCCATGAGAACAAGAGATGTCTGCCCTCCAATGCTGGCTTATCATCGACTAGGTCAAGCGGACTAGATGATGATCTATTGCTGGTGTCTTTAATGATGAGAAAAGTGTTCGGTGACACACAAAAATAAAAACAGGAGAAATCCCCTTCATCTTCATCTAAAGTCACAGGTGAAAGTGTGAAAGCAAACGTCCCTGTTATTCAACGCAATGACGTTGACATTAGTAAGTGTAATTAATGAGGGTTCACCTTTTTAAATTCACAAAGAAGATATTTGCCATTATTTCAGGCCTCATAAAGCTCAATTGTAAATGGGCAAAATGCCCAAGCACTGCTGCCCTCTACAGGTCGAAGAAAGTAAAAACAGGAACACGTTACAGTTTAAGACCTGCCAGGCTTTATTTAGTGGATGTGCAAAACACCTGGAAATAAGTTAAAAATCATACAAAGGCCACTTATACAGAAAAGTACTTTCTTCTTCCTTGTATTTTCCCACAAAGTTCGTAAAAACTCTTCACAACGAAAACAAAATCACTATGTGAAGAGAAAATACCCACGGGTTAGAGTCAGTTTGTGCCATCAGCTGTTTGCATGTAATACAAGCTGTGTGTCCCGTGTTGGGAATTCCAGCTGTGAGTCGGCCCCTGGGGGCCCGGGGTCCTCCTGGGACAGGAGCCCACTGAGAGTGCTTTCCTGTCGCACGTCATTGCCAACGATGGGAGGTGATTGGTCTTCTTCTGGAGATTCTGGGGGAATCTCATCTGTGTCCTAGATGGAGGAAATAGAGAAATGTTTCACCAAAAATAATTTCTAGTGCAAAAAAAAAAAAACCTTGCATAGTATTTTATAAACAAAAATGCATCTTAGAGTCTTGCACACAGAGTACAAAATATCATAATATGTGTTCACTGTATTGAGAAACTACTGTTCATGATTTAGTTGCTGACTAATTTAGGTAACTAAATGTTTTGCCTGATAACAACAGTTTGTCAGTTTGTGTAAAAAAAAAAAAAAATCCAGAGGTTTTCTTTCATGTGGTTTACTTGCATGTGTTAGCCTTTTTTTTTTTTTACCCCAGACCAAATTATTTTTAATTAACAAAATTTATTTTTTCACCCTATTTTGTATTTGATACTGTTTTATTGCTGTTCAGTTTGGGCTTACCAAGTTGCTTTTTTAATAAAAAAGAAATGCATATTATTCTGCAAGGACTCAAAATGACAGTAAAGGCATTTTTAACATTAAATAAATGCTGTTCTTCTGAACTTTCTATTCATCAAAGACTCTTGAAAAAAAGAAAAGAAAAAAAGATCACAGATTCCAGAAAAATATTAAGCAGCACAACTGTTTTCAGCATCAAATCAGTATATTAGAATGATTTCTGATGGATCATGTGACACTGGAGATTGGAGTAATGATGCTGGTAAAAAAAGAAAACAGTCATTTTAAATTGTAAAATTATGTCACAATATTACTTTTTCTTTACTGTATTTTTAATTTAATAAATGCAGCCTTGTTGAACAGACTTTAAAAATATATTTTTTAATCTTACTAACCCCAAACTGAATAGTAGTGCATATGTGCTCTAACTTAACTAATTCGTAAAAATCTAAGTGCATGAGGGGGGAAATTGTTCTATGAGTTTGATTATCTGAAAAAAAAGAAAAAAAACCCCCCACAGATATACAGTTATATAATTTTCAACTAAATCTACACATTCTCACCTTTCTGCCACAGAATGCATGAAAAAGAGAGAGAAAACACTCAACGACATTTAGATCAATATTCATATTATTCACCACCATCCTCATCTTATTTTCCCATGATCCTTTGCACTACCTTAAGGGGCTGGACCTCAACAGGGGTCTTTGCAATGACGACCATGTCTCTGATTTGGTAAAACAGTAGAACGACTGTAACCCACGGCGAACCAGAGGGAACCCAAGCGGGCTTGTTCAGATCCTCCTGCTCCTCCTGGTGCCGTGTTTTCTGAGCCGGAAGTTTGGGTTCGGGTCGAGCAGGTGCGGCCGCGTCTGTTGTGTTCTGAACCAGGTCAATGGTCGCTATGGGAACAGGACTGGATGGGATAGGAATGTTCTCTGCTAGCATCTTGTCCTCTGCGGGGTAAAAAAATAAATTAAATTGAAGCAAATTTGTGAATGAAAAAACTTGAAAATGTACGGTTAAACTTGTCGTAATTTCAATACCCTATCCATTAGTAGGCTAAAACAGTTTATTGAAGCTGCGAAATGAAACTAGCATTTCACAACAAAACGAGAACAAATCAGAAAATCATTTGAACAAACCATCCAAATGAACTGCTGCACTAAACTGCTGGACTTACTGGAGATGGCATTTTAGTTGGTTTGCTCACACTGCGCAACACAAAGTCACATTTTTTCTCACTATTTGGAAAGGGCACACTTTTTTTACGGCAGTTTTTGCTATTATTTTTTGAAAATGTACTTATATTCTATTATATTTTGTTAGAATTACACTATTATATAGCTACTTATTTACTTAAATTCAATAAACAAAATACAAAAAGGCAAAAAAACAAACAAACAAAAAAACATGAAACAAAAAAACAACATGAAAAAACTGAACTAAACTAAACAAAAAGGGCAAAAACAGACAACAAAACAAATGAAAAAAGTTAACTGAATTAAACGAAAAGCCAACATAAAATAAAAGCAAACAGAACTGAACTAAACAGAAAAGGCAAAGAAGCAACATGAACCAGGGCACCACAAACCCTAAAAATCTAAACAAAATAAAAAAAAAACATTTCAGCTTTTATTTTAAAAGAATAAGCAATATACGAGATATTGTTGCTTACCTTTTTTCTCATTCTGGCCAGTGATGCACATAATTGATGAAAAGATCAGCAAAATAACAAGCGACGTCATTCCTATTCCCCTGAATGTTTCGGCAACACCTGAAAAACAAGACGACCTCTAGCATTCATAATGTCATGTGGTTACAAAAACAACAGGCATTGTTCATACCAAAGTAGTTGACAAATACCCCGCCGACCATAGCCCCACAGCCCCTGCCCAGCCCGAGGTGGAGACCCTGCAGGATGCCTTGAGCGGATGTCCGAAGAGGTGGAGGTACAGCTGCACTCAAATATGAGATACACGCCGCCCATACGGACGCATGTGTTATGCCTGCACAGATACACATTGTTTATCTTGCAGCATAATATAAGGCTTAAATGAATAGTTCACGCAAAAATAAAATTTGCACACCCTCAGGCCATCCAAGATGTAGATGAGTTTGTTTAATTGGAACAGATTTGGAGAAATTTAGCAATACATCACTTGCTCACCAATAGATCCTCTGCAGTGAATGGGTGCCGTCAGACAGAATTCAAACAGCTGATAAAAACATCACACTAATCCACAAGAAATCCAAATGCCCACAGCAGTTCCTCTCACATCAAAAGCCACAAACATATTTGGGTAACACTTTCTATGAAGCCCATATTTATAATACATTATAAGAGTATTCTTAAGGCATTATAATGAATGCATGCATAATGCATTATAAAAACCCTGATAATATGTTATATCATCTTATAAATAATCATAGCAACAATAATAATAATAAATTTTATTTATAACACACTTTGTATTCCAGAGCATGTGAGCGGAGCGGGGAGCGGAGGGAGAATATTTCCTTAAGAGCGCAGAGCGCCTTTCTGAAGATTCCGCTCCGCTCGCTCAATACGCTCAGCGCCGCTCGCTCAACCCAGAATGCCGTTTGGTGATTTGCTTGTTCGAGATCGAGAATCTGTAGAGATCGAGAATAGTAGAGCAGTTATGGAGTCCAGATATTGTTTCAACGAAGTTGCAAGCCTTATACATAAATGTAAAGTAAAAATCAAAGTTAAGAATGAGCAGGGAGAAGAAACTGAGAGGGAGTGCGGGGAGACTGTTAAAGTTAGTACAGATTCATATTGATTACAATACGTATACACGAAGATGTATGCAAACATGGTGCAGCAAAAGGTGAGCTAGTTACATACCATAATAAATGAATAAACAGGTAGGCTAAGGTTATATTCGGTTGTACGGAGCCCCGATCATAACATGCAGACAAAATCACAGCCACGAATTTAGAATAGGCTAGTTCTCTTTTATGCTAGGACTACATTATGGCCACGAATTAAGAATAAATTTTTTTGTTTAGTCTAAATTATGGCCACGAATTAAGTACTCATTCTCTTGTTTAGGCTTAGCTGCCACGAATTCATTCGTTCGTTAATTCGTTCATTCCCTATAGTAGGCCTAAATCGTGGAACGAATTATTATATTTCGTAATTACTTATTAAAATCATTATTGCTTAAACTTAATAAATAATAATAAATTAATTAAAAAAATAATAAAACCTGCTGACGTCGTAGAAACGAATTGTTAATTCGAATTATATTCGGAGCTCCGTAGTTATTAAATAATCTCAGTTAAACTGTAGACCTAAGCTAACACACAGCTGTATATAGGCCTAAATACAGAACTACAGAGTACAGAAGATATTAGCCTACACCACTTAGGCCAATTCAAATATTATTTAAAAAAAAAAAACTGACCCGAAACAATAGGTAGTCCTTCAGAATGTAGGCTAGATATAGGCAGCAGTAATTTATAATCTAATATAATGCACGCAAATTTGTTCTTTACAGAACGGAGCGGGATCTGAGCGGGAACACAGAATCCCAAAGTGCTACAGATTAAAAACAAGAAAAAATATTAAGAATCATTCAAAGGCTTTGCTAAAAAGGTAGGTTCTGAGGCCACGTTTAAAGGGTCATGAAACCCCAGACTACTTTTTCTGAGATCTTAGCAGAGGTGTTTGTTTTGCACATTATAGAAGACAATGTTAGCATCCGATAATTTTAACTGTTTGAGAAAACAAGTTAATTTTAAGCTTTTTTGCGCTATTTTAATCTTCAGGGTTTAAAATCTACATCGTGTTGACGTCACAATTTGTGACGTGGTAAAGGACTATAGTACATCGATGACACGTCGGTGTCTAATAAATTATTCATGAGACTGCGTGTTCTTATCCTATGAGAAGACAGAGGTGCAACAGCGTGTTCATATATATGTTCTCGATGCAGAGTGCAAATGGCTGTGCATTTATTTGTGTATTTAACTCGATGGGAGTGAAATGAAACTGTCAATGAAACTGTCTGAACCCGAAGCTGTGTGTGTTGTCTGTCTCCCCTCGTCCCCCTCCGCTCCGCTGCACACCACGCCCACTTTTATAGCATTTTTTAAAACCGTAGTGAGAACTAACCAGTGCTGAAACAGGGGGTTTTCATGACCCTTTAAAAGCATCGACAGTCTGTGGAGTCCGTAGATGGTCAGGGAGAGCATTCCACAAACTTGGAGCTGCTGAGCAGAAAGCCCGATCTCCCATAGTGCAAAGCTTAGTCCTGGGGGGTTTTAATAGATATGTTGATGCAGAACAGAGTGTACGTTTAGAAGTTTGTGGAGTAAGGAGTTCCTTGAGATATGATGGGGCGTCACCATGTGATGGGTAAGGCGGGAGACAAACAATCCTGAATGAAACAGGAAGCCAGTGTAGTGATTTGAGAATGGGGGTGATGTGATCGTATTTGCGTACCCTCATCAGGATCCTAGCAGCACTGTTCTGAATGTACTGCAATTTCTGTAGGCTTTTGCCAGGGATCCCGATGAGGAGCGCATTACAGTAGTCCAGCCTGGAGGAGACAAAGGCATGGACAAGCTTTTCCCCATCTGCAAGAGTGAGCATAGGACGAAGTCTAGTGATATTCCTAAGATGGAAAAAGGAAGTCTTGCACAGATGTTTAACATGAGCCTCAAAGGTGACATGAGAGTCCATTCTAACACCCAAATTGATAACTGATGTTGAGAGTGGAATGTTTTGGCCAGAAAAGGTAATGCTGGAAATGACAGATGTCTGGACCTGGTGTGGGGTGCCTACTAGAATGGCTTCAGTCTTCGAGCTGTTCAACTGCAGGAAATTTTGCCTCATCCACGCCTATACCTCCTCCAGACAGGTAGTCAAGGTGGAAGATGACAGGGCAGCAGAAGTGGATGAGTTAGTCTTAAGGTAAAGTTGAGTGTCATCAGCATAGCAATGAAATGATATTCCATGCCGACTGATGACATGACTGAGAGGGAGCATATACACAAGGTATGGCGAACTCCAGTCCTGGAGAGCCACAGCCCTGCAGAGTTCAGCTCCAACCCTAATAAAATCTCACCTGCCTGTAGCTTCCTAGTAACCCTTCAGACCTTGATTAGCTTGTTCAGGTGTTTGATTAGGGTTGAAGCAAAACTCTGCAGGGCTGCGGCTCTCCAGGACCGACGTTCGCCACTCCTGATATACAGTATAAACAGAGTGGGGCCGAGCACTGAGCCTTGAGGGACACCACAGGTGACATTGTGTGTCAAGGATTTAGCCTCTCCCAAAGCAACATACTCCATTCTCCCAGTAAGGTAGGATAAAAACCAGTTATAGACAGAGCCAGAGAGACTGATGGTGTGACGTAAACAATACAGAAGTATGCTGTGATCCACAGTGTCGAATGCTGCAGTCAAATCCAGAAGGATAAGAAGAGATGGAGAACCAGCATCTGCTGCCATCAGCAGGTCGTTTGTGACCCTCACCAGAGCTGTTTCAGTGCTGTGGCCAGAATGGAAACCAGACTGTAATTTCTCAAACAGGTAGTTTTGTTTTAAATGGGTCTGAAGTTGTGCAGCCATTACTTTTTCCAACACTTTAGTAAGAAATGGAAGGTTAGAAATGGGCCTGTAGTTGGCAAGGACTTCTGGATCTAAAGTTGGTTTTTTGAGGTGTGGTCTGATTATAAATAATCTTAAATAATCATAGCAACAATAATAATAATACATTTTATTTATAACACACTTTGTATTCACACAGAATCCCAAAGTGCTACAGATTAAAAACAAGAAAAAATATTAAGAATCATTCAAAGGCTTTGCTAAAAAGGTAGGTTTTGAGGCCACGTTTAAAGGGTCATGAACCCAACACTTTAGTAAGAAATGGAAGGTTAGAAATGGGCCTGTAGTTGGCAAGGACTTCTGGATGTAAAGTTGGTTTTTTGAGGTGTGGTCTGATTACAGCAGTTTTCAGTTCAGGTGGAACATGACCAGCCTGGAGGGAGTGGTTGATAACCTTAGTAATCAGGGGACTTGTGGCACAAAGGTTAGATTTCACCAAGGCTGTAGGAAAAGGGTCCAGGGCGCAAGTGGATGGTTTCATCTTTCTGATTATGTCCTCAACCTCTCAATGTGAGATGTCAGAGAAACAGCAGAGAGGATGGGAAGTCCCAGGCTGTAAATCGGCAGTCAGGATATTACAGTAAAAATAGTTCAAAGCAAATGTGTCATATTACACATTGATCTGATATCTATGGAAGCCCGTTTCCACCACTGAATAAAAAATACAAAAAAGGTTATTGCAACTTTTTATCTCACAATTCTGACTTTTTTTTCACAGAATTGTGAGATATAGACTCGCAATTGTGAGTTATAAAGTCAGAATTGCGAGATATATAGTCAGAATTGTGAGATATTAAAAGGGTCATATGACGTTGCTAAAAAGAACATTATTTGTCTAGTCATGTCCTCTTTTGGAAGGCCAAATAAAGTAGTTTCGCTTTAATAACGAAACACACAGCGTCTCCACAACATGGCGGCGGCGGCAGCAACAATACTACAGCAAGAATCAAAGTTACGCCTTCTTTCTTTGCGTGAACATGTGGGCGGCGTTATGCAAATCTTCCCACATTGTGACGTAGACATGTTTTCATGACACATTTTAGGTAGGCGTGGTTGACTCTTAACTTTTATAAAGAATATCTCTTTGGATTTGAGACTTTAGTCTTTGCAACTTTACAGACCGGCTTTATCCTCCGAGAGCCTGTTACTCGACAA